GGAAATCTTGCCTGCTTAGCCTTTTGATGCAATTTTTAGTTGTAAGCTGATTCTGTTAGACAAGGTCTAGATTCCCAATGCTGAGCGTTTCTTGCTGTGCAAACTGAATACCTAGCTCGCCGCTTGTCTCCAGAGAGCCGAGCAGTCAGACTACTAGTGTCACTGTTATCGGCAGCCTGCTGATTATCTCAGGTGCTCCAGCTTGTACGCAGGGAATCTACTAGAAGTTGAGGCAGTCTCCAACAGAAGAGGTTAGTTGTCTCTTGTGAAACTTGGGAGCTAGAACCTTTGCCTTACCTCACGCGGTAACTACATGATTACAGTCTGCAAATGGTTGTGTCTGGCTTTCAGACTACTTCATTAAGAGTTAATTTATATGCAAGTTTGGTTTTCCAAAAAAACAACACACATGACTGATCCACCCTATCATAAATTTTAATAATGATAAGGTGGTGCAGGCTCATCTAAAATTCCTTCCAAAGGTGGTGTCAGATTTTTACTTTAGTCATCCTAACCATCTTTTCCTTCCCTGTATTTTCGCTGTAGCAAGGCTTTGTTTACATGAGCTGGATCCTAATAGTTGTACTCCCACTCCCAGCAGCACTTTGCAACATATTATAGATTATCATCACTAAGACTTCAGTTTGACTTTTTTATTTTTTATTAAGAAGCATTTTATTTTCCTCAAAATTCTTTTCCTTGAAGCAACTTTCCTCAACGCTTCACTTCAGCTTTACAACTGGTGGTATGAGGAGACAGTTCTTCAGAAACTGCTTTTTTTGTGACTGTCAAGGAGGTGATGGAGGGAGAAGGGGAAGGCAGCAGGCGTAGAAAGCAGATTTGAGAGGGAGTTGTCAGAAGGAAGGAATGGACTTCAATCTCCATTTGCTGATGAGGATGGAGGTGAGGGAGCCTTTAGAAATTAGCTAGCATGTGGATGGCTGACAGGCTTGGCAGAGACAACGAACAGTACTGGGGAAAACAGTCATCTAGATAGGAGAAAATTTGGAGGTGGTCAGGAATCTTTATTTCCTTTCTCCTCATCCCACGATAAAAACAGAATACACTTACAGGG